ATTTAAACCAAATTAATGAACTGCAATTACTATTTTACACAATCTTATAACTGTCGCATCATAGTAAATCAAACCTCCAAAACAATCAAACAATACAATCATTTTAAATTGCACCTTTTAATATAGCAATAAATATTAACAACTAAGTAATTCAACTCACAACAATGCTTCTACTACCTACTGTATCTCAAGTTTGATATATTAAAAGCCATTATCATAACTAAAATCTTCCATTACTCCATATAACGCTCTCAAATACATAAACTCAGTACAACTCTCCTGTAATTAAACTGTATCTCTAGTTAAGTTTACTTAATTAGTTGATTTGAGTTAATAAAAAATAGATTTAAACTAGTATAATCTATAGGCTAAAAGTTAGCCATCTGATTTATACTAGTTAATTTTAAATTATAAATTATATATAGTAATTTCAAAGCGGCATAAATTGAAAAATGACAGAGTACAATTAGAAGTTACCTAATAAATCAATTTCGAGGATTAATTCTAACTTTCAGCTCCTTACAGATTATGGAAATTCCAGTTCTAACTTTTAATGGCTCATTCTTATTCACCAACTCGACATTATAATTTTTAAATACTAATACCATTAATAAGAGTAATTCTGTCATTCCAAATTTTCTACCAGGACAAATTCGTTGACTTCCACCAAATATCGCTAAATTTTTATCGTTAATTTTTTTATCATATTTATTATCATCATAAAACCTTTCCGGATCGAAAATTTCAGGATTTGACCAAAATTCTGGATTTTTATTCGCTGCTAAACGATTCAATTGAAACAGTGTACCAGCGGGCCATTTATATCCAGCAATTTCACACTCTTCAAGAGTGCAGCGGGGTATAACATACGTTGCGGGCAATATGCGAAGAGTTTCTTTAATTATTGCTTTACAATATTTTAGTTTTGAAATATCATGTGACACATGCAATTTTTCAGAAGATTTAGGAAAGATTGTGTCAATTTCCAAAAGCATCTTTTCTTTTACGTGCGGATATTTACAAACATGATAAGTTATAAAACAAAATATTTTTGATATCTAAATGCAATAATTATAAACTAATATTAGTATATAGAAAACTTTTTTTTGTACTAAGATAACCTTTTTGAATCTCTAGCTGAAATTGTTTAGAGTATAA